TCTGCCCTGATTGCTTCCTCTTCCCTTGTTTTATCTCCTCAGAATGAGACCTTCCCAAACTATAAAATGTCCAGAGGTAATCCTTACTTGTAAAAATCACACAACTGAATAAGATAGGTCAATGGCCGTGGCCACAGAGAGAGAACACATCACCTATTATTCTTTCCTATCCATCTCCTGAAACCTGTGAGAATAGGATGTCTGCCTGTAGTCGTTAAAAGGAAGAGCACAATAAATCAGCCACCTATCCATACCTGTCAACACAACCAAAACCACACAGGTGCCTTCAAGCAGAGGAGGCCTCCTAATAAACTGGAACACCAGTAATGACAGAAAAATATATATGTGAGCAGAAACAATTTGGATAAGGGCTAAATTAAGAAAAGCTAAGGTAACATGATATTGGTATGAGCAAAATCTATGGAGAGAGTACGGACTCATTTTGTCAGGCAACACTCTTATATTTGTGACATAGAACTTATTTTAACTACTGGGACAGTTTACTTTCAAATGGATCTATGCTGTAGAGCAGCAGCTAACCCAAGTCAGGAAACCACTGTGTGGTGGCTATTGTACTGCTTTATTTGTTTTAAAAATTAAACTCAAATGGCATTTCCTGAGGTTCCAGTTCAATTAAATTTACCATGAATAAGTGATAGGATAATTATGAAGTTAGCACAACACTCAACACATTCTCTTCTCTGTGTATGGACTCAGTGGGTAGTGTGCTACACAGGGCCTGGCCCTCTATAGTAGCACCAGCAGCATTCCTTCGTACATGTGCTTGCAGCTTGGCAACCAAAGGGGTGCCCCAATACCCTACATCCGTGGACCTCCAGAACACCACTGCATTCACATTCAGGAAAGGCACACTGCTTTTGAGGAAAGTCTTAAACCTTTGCACACACTCCTTCAGTCACTGAAGGTCCTTGTCAGGTTGTTGGCTAAGACTGTGAAAATTACACAGTGTAAAGCAATGACACTGTTCTAGGATTTACAAAAAACAAAATCTGAAGACAAGCTGAGCAGAGAGCTAGAAACATTCTCTCTCTCAGCTGTTTTTGCTTAAATCATGCTGCTGTGCATTTGGGCGTGTGTGTGAGCATGTATTTACCATGTCAAATTCTTGGGAGACTCGTCGCTTGCGAAGTTCCTCCATGCGGTCGCTGACGTCACTGAAGCAGGTGTTGTAGTACTCAGAGTACTCCTGGGCAAGGTCATCTATATTTCCCAGAGAACCATCCTGGAGAGAGGAAGAGGGAACGGTTTAGCCAGGGGACCACAACATCCTGAGAAAGGAAGGCTGATAATATGAAAAAAAAAAAAATGCTGTCACTGCAAAAACCCTATTTGGACAACTTGTTCTTCTAATAGTGACTCATTTAAAAACATTGTTTTAAAACAAATAAAAACCATTTATACAGTAAATTCAATCATTTACTCTCATGTAGCTTCTATCACTTTACAACATTCCAATAAAACAATCCAGATAAAGTTCGTACATTTAATGACAAGGAGATTCCCAACATCTTCACCACAACTTTATAAAATCACTGTCATATACACTTACAATTAGCAGCATTAAAAAGTATCTACTAAACAGAGGCATGCATACTGTTCCAGTAACTCTGCAGCAAGGCACATCCACAAAATCATATTCAGTCACACATCACATTTTCTATACTGCCTCACAGATCTAATAAACTGAAAAATGTGTTTATTAAGCAGAAGATGGGGACAAATTCTGCTACTTGCTAATTTGCATGTATCCACTACTACACTGGGCAAAATCACTTTGAACTCCTCAACTAATGTAAACCATGAACACACACATATGCTGCATGGAGGCACATGTTCACATTCATCAATGTGCTCACATACTCCATATAAACGGAAAAACCTAAAAAATACCCCTCAATAAAAGGTGTGTGTATTTTCGACCTTTAGTGATTTTTATCAGGTCCCATTCAGTGAGTGTCTTTAGTGAACTATGGTTTGTTCCAGCGTTTTTGTCTTTGTCGAGGCTCACAAACAGGGTGCCCTTTACCTTCTCAGACATTCACCAAACTCCAAACCAAACACACTCTTCCGGCTCAATGTAGTTTAGCTCAGCACAGTTCCTGTCTTTGTCTGGGGTTGAGGATTGAGAGAGGAAGCTGTGCTCCAAACAGCAAAGAGCTTAACTAAGTAAAGACTCCTTGGCCTGAAATTTGGCCTCAAGATTTTGGAAACATTAATAGTGGACTAACTTCAGCCCTTGATTCTATGAAAATGGCAAATACACAGTGTCAACACCAGGGGTGTGTCTCGGGATGTAATTTTATCAAGTTAGCTGGAAACAGATGCTTTTACATCAGTCCAAATGTTTTGTTCTGGAACACAGACTGACATTCAAACAGATGATGTGGGTTTTCGTCAGTGTAATTATCGTGATAACTTAAAAGACCAGAAACACAACTCCAAAATTCAGTGATCCCTGTTCAGAGCTTTTGCATGGATGTAGCATGACCTCTTGCACAATGTGGGAGAAGAGTGGCTCCCATCTCCTGCTTTGGTAAAAAGGTAAGCCAACCTGGCAGTGGTGACCAACTATTGAATATTCATCAGTGTTGATCTAATCTGTGCCAGGCAGACAGCTAGCATTGAGTCACTGTGCAGGCTCCGAACAGTCTCTCTCAGTCTCCGTCTTTCTCAACCGGACTCCCTATCTGGGTGCCAGGCCACAAATGAATGAGTCACTGTGAGCGTGAGTACTGCGCACACACAGGGGTATTAGACCTTCTTCAGAGATGGCTGTCTGGTTAAAGAGAACACGAATTAGCATGCACACCCATGCATGCAGTAGATTTCAACATCTGACCCAAAACAAACCGAGGTAAGCCAATCATATACGAGTAGATGGAGTTACAAAACAGCGAGAATTAAATGAGCATTGAACACAACACCGCTAACAAAATACACAAACTGTCATCTACCCTCCCACTCTCATTACTTGAGAAATCCTGCTCTGGCCAGAGATATGGTTCAAGATGACTGACATTCCCAGCGGGAACGCTCCGTGAGCAAACGCATGCTTTTCCCTTCATTCCTCACATTGACTGAAAGCATGCTCTCATTACAGAACTCCCAAGATGTTTTAATCACCACACACATGACATGATTGTGTGTTGGTGTTAACAGGGATAATCTAGCTGGATCATACTGACAGAATTCATTCAGTAATTAAGTTTTGCAATTTTTTTTTGTCTCTTCTCTCAGTGGGAATGGTAAATGGACTGTATTTTATATAGCGCTTTCTCACAGTGTGTTGCACTGGCCAAAGCGCTTTACAGAGATGATACACCATTCACCCATTCACACACAACATTCACACACTGATGACGACAAGCTGCCATGCACCGGCGCTAGTCAAGCCACCAGGAGCAATTCGGGGTTCAGTGTCTTGCTCAGGGACACTTAGGCATGCGGGGAGACCGGGAGTCGAACCACCAACTTGCTGGTCAGGAGACGACTGCCCTACCTCATGAGCCACATGGAATATTAAATGCAACCCTCATCAGTGGACAGGTAAAGGTGATGTGTTTTGCTATTCTCAGATGGATACGTCTGTGACAGTACACATCTATTCGTGTACAAACTTTTGTGTGTGTGTGTGTGTGTGTGTGTGTGTGTGTGTGTGTAGATAACTGAGATTCCTCAAATTCTCCAGTGGCATTAGTTAATAGGGGCCAACACAGCCGACCCTCACACCTCATCTCCATCACCTCCATCTCCACAGGGGTAGGCAATCCAAAAACCATGCTTGTTTATCAACTACCCCTGCCCTACCCACTGTTGATTACCTGTGTCCAGTCAATTAGAAACTGGAAGATACCAGCTCAGATGAAGGGGGAGTGAGGTGAGGCAAAGTAAACTGGTACTGATCCAGGTAATCAGCAGTGGGCAAGGCATGGATAACTGGAAAACAAGCATGGCAGCGGCCCTCGAGGACCAGGAATAACAACCCCTGTTTTAAAGTGATACTGCACATGCACAGTTATGCGTATCCACTCTAAAACAGCATGTGGACGCAAGTGTAAAGAGTGTGAATCACAGTGGGTGAAGGAATAAAAAAAGATCAAGTGTTTTCGCAGGATGGCAAATTGATTTTTTGTGGCAGCAGATGAGTGAGTGTTCAGTTAGAAATAATCTGTCAACGTGGGAGTGAAGGTGGAAGGGCATGTAGGGATCCGACAGCGGTCCACACATCTAGTTTAGAAAAGTGGGCTGGGGTTGGGGAGTGAAGGCTGGACAAGGGATGATTTGTGGGCTACTGACTAGGGCAGCTGGGAAGGATAAAACATCTGGGGTCTGGGAAGAGAAAAGCATCTATAAAGTGATTCTATGGATTATATTATATACTATATAAATGCACCACTGCTTGTCTGACCTAAAAAAAAAAAGGTATGGGTCTGTGTTAGCACATCAAGATAAACAAAAACTCACCCTAAAACCATTTTACAAGTGAATTTAGCAAATTTATAAACACATTTAGTTTCATGGAGGTTTGTAATAGAAAGCAACACTGCTTCAGCTGATGTAACAGTTAATCCACTCTGCACATGAGGGAAGCCAACTCCATATTTTGACTTGAACAATAGCAACAACAGTCATAAAAAACTGCACCCAATCAAAAATGGGTGTCTGTATTTACAGTAAAGAGTGTGCATTTATCATTAACTGTCCAAGCCCAAGATACAGCCAGTTCCATCAAGATGGGTGCAGCTTAAATTTGTAAATGAAAATGGTAATACATATCCCCTCTGTTCCAAATGTTTGCACAACTCAAAGCAGAAAAACGGTTCAGAGACATGTTATAGAAGACACTTGTGAGAAGTCCTTGTGTGTGTGAAAGCCATCACTATGTACAAAAGCCACCAGAGTACAAATGTCTGGTACAATATGACACCACAGTGGAGGACTATTTTGGTAATGTATGATATGATATGCTATGCTACTGAGCCATTAAGTAATTTACACAATATCCATTCAACATTGCTTTGGAGGAGTGGAGATGATTAGCACCCGTGCCAGAATTCCAATAAGTCTCTGCTGACTTAATCAGTTAGCC